TGTATAATATATATATATATATATTATAACTTTTATTTTATTTCTTCTTTTTAATTAGAAATATATAATATATTATTATAAAATTAAATATTTTTCTATAGTATACATTATAAAAACACATGAATTCTCCCGCGCACACGTTTTTGTGAAAAAGACTGTTATAATTTAAAATCTGTTAGTACAACACGTCACAAAGGGATCGGAGAAAGACTTAGACTGATGATTGGTCACTGTAAAACTGGTCAGTGACGAATCACGGGCTTTCGCGAGAACGCACGAAATTTCTCGAATATAGCCGAGAGATAGTGAATAATGTTAAGTTCAATCGCTGGAGGGAGACACATTAGCGATTTACTCTGAGAGAACAAGCGTCGAGTTCTTTCAGTAGCCGGCACGTGCTGTGTCAGCCGGGTACATTTTATTTGTTGTCCTATTTCCTGTTCCTTTTTCCTTCTCCCTTATCTCCTTCTTTATCCATTTGTCCGTCCATTTGTTCGATTATTATACAAACCTTCATTTTACATTTTATCAATCCATAAATATTTTTTAAGCTCCTTTTATTTCTTATCAAAGTTTCTCGTGTATTACATTTTCCTCCTTCAATATGTTAATTCACGTTTGTGTTACGCTTATTTAACAGATTTGTTTTTTTTAATTATTTTATTTAAATTCGAAACTTTTTATCTTAAATAATGTCTAGATAAATCTGTATACAAAGGACATTTAATGATTGAGTATATATAAATATATATATATATATTTTTTTTTTTAGTCTTTTTAATTTAATTGTCACCAACGAGCGCGCCCTTTACACGCTTCTCGCATTTTTATTCGCATTTTTCTCTTGTACTTTTTTTTTATTATTTTATTTAATATTTTTTTTTTTTTTTTGTATTCCTTTTATTTATATCCGTAAAAATCTAAACATATTTTCTCAATCCTATTAAATCCTTGGAGAGAAAAAAAGGGTTACAATTGCACGTGTCGGATTATATTCGTACTTTTTTTTAATACGGAGTGCTCCCAACCGGATGTGACGACGTCAACGACGACAGAACCAGTCATTCCATCTTTATTGAGATGTATGTACATATATGTATATATATACACGCATAATTTATTATCTGAATATATATATATATATATACGCATATACGCATTTGTTTAAATTAAAATATATTTATTCGGTTACTAAGCACGCTTTTTTTCCTCTAAAAATATATTCGCAGTACGATTAAATTTTAACCCAAAAGTATCGGTAGTTCCGACAACGTGGGTCCGACATTTTGTTTTCTCTATAATACCTTTTACGCAAAAGCAAACATCGAAGGATTCCGACGATTAAAAGATTATTCGTCGAAATAGTTTGACGAAAATATATGCGATAAGAAAAATAATCGGAATAAACTTAAAAAATACCATTATCGAAAAAGTACGGCTTATTAGTATATTTTTTTAAATTATCCAAAATGTTTCGTAACATATATTAGAAAGGAATTCACGGAACACGGTATAAAACAAAATGGTCGCGTCTCGTTCGATTTCTAAATTCGAATAGTTATACAAAAGTCTAGAAATATAAGGAATTATCGTTACGAATAGTAACAAATAATATTATTTCGTTATAACAAAAATATTAACACGAGTTTCCTTTTTATTAATCTTTTTTTTTTATTTATTCCTATGTTCCGAAATAACATGGAACGTTCCTATGTTTCAAAAGAACGTGGAACGTTCCTATATTCCAAAAGAACGTGGAACGTGCATATGTAAATCGTGTTTGCATTTATTGTATCCATTGTTTTCTTCCTTTTATTTTTCAAATATTAGTAAAAATACTTTTCCAAAAAATTAAAAAAAAATGTCAAATAAAATTCTTCTTCATCGTTGTGTGTTTGGTTGCTTCCAAATTTTACTTCGTGAGACGGGTTATGTTCTTTCTTTCTTAGCACCACGTCGTAGTCTTCATCTTCGTCTTCGTCTTCGTTCTCGTATAAGAAAACCGCATGCGCCGTGAACGGTCTTTAGAGAACGCATGGGGTCATGGCCGAGGAACGTATATCGGAGTCCACGCATATACACGCGTGTTGTGTGTCTGTGTATATATGTATTTCTTCTTTCTTTCTCTCTCTTTCTCACTACGGTTATAGGACCTCCGTTTTAAAAGCAGTTTCACAAGAGCATGCGTCGTCGCGCCTGTGCAAAAAATATACTTTGTCTCTTTGGGCGGTAACCTTGAAAATTTATCTTTAAACCGTACTAAATATTTACATTGTTTATTAAAGATATATTATTATTATTATTATTGTTATTCCAGTGATATATCTAAGAATTCATGATCCTCCTTCTCTCCAGTTCTCCATACACACAATAATCACATTTGTTTTTTTTTATTATTGTATTATAAACAATTCTTGAGACGTATATATATAATAGAAGGTAATGTAAGATTATATTGTGAGAAATAATAATTATAGATAAGCCTTTAACACTTTTTATAATGCTGCTTAGAGAATTGAGGAAAATCTTTTTACAATAAATAAATTTCATTTTAACACTGGGATGTTTGTGTGATAATTAGAAAAATTTCAAAGCAAAATTAAATACTTATTGATATAAGTATACAAATCTTTAATTAGTGTGTATGGAGAGACAATGTATTACAGGAGTAATCTTAATATGCTTAATATATAACATATATATATATACCTTATATATAACAGCAGAACAGTTTTAATAATTAACAAAATCATTTTACAATTGGATTTACATTGATTCGATAAAAAAAAATTATGAAAATCGGGTTTAAATAATCGATTTTACTTTAACCATATGTTCAATTTGAAATGTTCGAAATATCAAGCCAAATTGTATTCGTTCCTTCTGTCTAACTGGGTGGAAAGATAAGATAGGAGGTGGTATAGATTAAAAAAAAAAAAAAAAAAGAAAAAAAAAAAAAAAAAAAAAAAAAAAAAGTAAGAAAAAAAAGAGAGAAGGAAGGATAGAAAGAAAGAAAGAAAGAAATAAAAAGTTCAACTACATACACACACATATATATATATATTACATTCATTGCAATGCTCTTTTGAGATAGCTACCTCGACCTGCTTTTATAAAATCTTACTCAACTTACTTTCATGCATCGAATTAACTGGCATCTCGTGGTGGTCGGTGTTTGCTACCAGGAACCGTGATCGTATTTTACGTTGTATTATTAATCTATAGAATTTATTTCCTATTTTTTCTCTTGTTTTCTTTTTTTCTTTTCTTTTACCACAGATTTTACTTTTTTCTAGAAAGTAATATATGCATATTGGGAAATATATGATATATAGTATTCTTCGTTATTAGAATTTGGCAATTGTAAATGTTATTATATTTCTTTTGTTTTTATTTTCAATCTTTTTCGAATGGCCATTGAATTTGATTATATTTATCTTTAATTCAATTCTAAGAAAATTTCTTTTGTTTATTAGCCGTTTTTATTTATAGAATTCGTAGAAATTGGAATTGGGATAAGTTACTTGTTCGATATTTATATTCATTTTGGTTCGTAATAATAATAATAATAATAAAATGAAAAAAGATATTTTGAAAATCTAAAGCGCACAACACACTTTAGTAATTTATCTTATTTTATTTCTTTTTCCATTTGACAATGAATATTAAAATAAAATATATAAAATCATTTATTATATCTAAGGATATATATATATATATATATAATTTAAAAATAAATAAAAAAGAAAAGAAAAACATAAAAAGTTCATAAATCCTATTTTTCATATAGGTAATTATGATGATGACGACGATTGTCATCATCATCATGTTCATCATTGTACATATGAATCACATGATGGGTATCCTTCAAAATCGGTACGCGTAGGTTAAATTACATGTGTAAAATGGTCCCTTAGTGCGCTTGCTCAGTTGCACGACCGGCGAACAGAACTAATTTAAGAAATCCTATGTCGCGAAGTCTGTTGGTGGTGTGTGCGCCAGTTCACAGGTTAAAATAGATACGTGAAAGCCGTTCGGGGATACCTTCCAAGTGTTTTCCAAAGTGTTCTTTAGTTTCCTACTAACTTTCTGCCAACTGATTATTCTTCTTAGGTTTTTTTTTGTTTTTCTTTTTTTAAATTATTTCTTTTTCTTCTTCTTTTTCTTCTTCAACGATTATCATATAACATATAAGATTATTCTATTTTAAATTTCCATATGTAATAGATCTTATTTTTTCCTATTCAAAATTCTATATATATATATGTATGCGTGTTTGTGTGAATGTATGATATAATATATATGATAATCGTTAAGAAAATCAGAGACTTATGATTAAAAATATTTCCTCTGTTATATACTGTTCAAAGTTTCTCTTTTTTTAAATATATAGTGATGAAAATGCAACAACAACTTTTATTTTCTTTCAACGAGAATAATCATCGTCGTTGTTCATCAAGGAAATCGTGAAATCCGTGTGCGCGCGTGGTTGTTGCACACTACCGTTTTTGGCTCGGATCTTTGGTTTATAAATAAATTTTAAATTCGGTGTTTCTAGTCTCTAAGAAGTGAGAGATAGAAAGAGAGAAGAGAAGTCAGTGAAACATAACTTGTTTTTTTTGTTGTTTGTGCTGCTGTTGATTTGATATCGTTAGAACAATGTAAATCCTTAAAAATAATGTGTGTTCTTAATAAACACGTTCGATAATTTATTACAATCAAATCTAATGAATAATTATGATTTGAATTTTTATATTTGTGTGTTCTGCAATATGACGTGCAATTAAAACAAATTATTTTATTTTTAAATAAAAGAGAGACTAAGTTTTTTTTAAAAGACTGTGATACAAACAGAGAAACAAAACAATAAGAATTTCTTTTATGACTGTTAAGAATAAGAAATAAAAAGGAAATTGTTTAACAACAACAACAACAACAAAAAGATAAAAATGAGTAGTAGAACTCGTGCTAGCAGCGGCTCCAGATCAAGGAGTCGAAATCGACGTGGTTCCAGAGATCATGGTACATTTAAAAAACAAAAAACATATTCTTCCACTCCGAGTATAGTAGTACATTTGATATTTTCTTTTCTTTTCTTTTTTTCTCACCCCCTTTTTAAATCATTTCATTAAAAAGTAACATCATTTTTTTTGTTTCCTTCTTCTTTAACTTATTCGCCTTATACTTAGTTATCTTTTTTTAAATCTATCATTTAACAATTTTATGTAATGGAGTAGGGGGGGGGAGAGTTTGTATATCTAGCAATGGTGAATCAATTCCGTGATGATATTATTCTATTTTGAGTTAAGAAATAAAATAATGTTTCAATATATATATATATATATATATATATATATATTTTGAATAAATCATTGATGAGAATATTTTTTAAAAACGTGCCGGAGAGAATAATTATCAAATTATGTGTCAATATATATCGTGTATTTATTTTATTAATAATAAAATGAATTATTATAAAATACGTTTAAATAGAAAAGATATAAGTCCAAGTGTATAAAGTCAAAAACTATGTATGTGTGTAGCGTTGTATTCTCTGCTCTGTGTCTATAATTATCTTTGGCTGTTGGCCGGAATACTCACTTTTCTACATTAGTTAGCCTGTGGGCCACTTCTCAATCGTTTTGCTATCGCAATAATTAACAATTTTCTAACAACAATGAAAATTAATATTTTTTTGTTTTATCCTTTTTTTTTTTTTTAACTAGGAACAAGCATCTCTTTTTTTTTCCCATACATATATAATATGTAATATCCCTGTATTTTGTTAAAACCCTTCAAAAATGATATATTTTAATCGAATATTTTCTTTTGTTTGTTTGTTTTTTTAAAGGTAAAGTGATTCAGAAACAAAAGAACAAGAACAAACTCAAGCCACGAGATTTGAATCGAAAGGGAGCCGAAAAAGAGGGCACCGATATGGATGCCTTTATGAATAAATTAGACAATAAAATAACATCAACTAAAGAGACATTTGTTACGAAAGAGAATAAAGATTTTCAAAATATTGAAGAAATTGTTAAAGACAATAAGGACACGGATAACAAGGAGTCCTCGACAGAAAAAGAAACCACAAATGCTGTATATTGTAAAACTAGTAGCAAAAACCCGATAAAAGATGTTGATCAAGAAAGTAGTAATAATGAACAGCCTATTCAGGCAACTAATATTGAAAAAAGTCAAGATGACAAGGAGGTGTGTAATAAAGAAGTATCTTCAAACGTCGAAGATAATTCACAAATTGTAACATCTCCAATAACGTGTAGTAACGCCCAAATAAAGTCAGTTCCTAATAATGATGTAGTTGATCATGCAATTGTTAAGGATAACATTGATGTAGAAACGATAGTTGCACAAAAAAATGAAGAGAACACTAAAATGTCTACGTTACAACAACAACAACAACAACAAGCATCATCTAACGAAGAAAAAGTTGTTCCATCTGTCCCAACTGTGGAAAAATCAAATGAATCAAGTGAACAATCGCAACAGCAATCGCAACAGCAGCAGCAGCAGACACAACAGTCGTCTCAATCACCGACGATTGATGTATCAAAAAATTCGATAACATTAAAGTATACATACAAGGACGATCAATGGAGTCCCATTAATAAAGATGGTAAAAAGGTTTACGATCGTGAATTCTTGATACGACTTCAAGATGATCCTAATAGTAAAATTAAACCTACCAACTTACCAGATTTAGAAGTTGTTTTAAAAGATAACAAGGTACAAAAATTAGTTATAATCAATTTATCATTATTCTATGTCACATTATCAAGATCATATATTTATATATATATATATATATATAATGTAATTTTTTCTTTTATAGAATCGCACTCCAATGGATTTCCGATCGTTTAAAGATACAAGCATGAGCAGACCGGAATCTTTGTTCCCTGTATTTGTGAAATCATCAGGACTTACACGTAATGTGGTAAGTAATAAGAGTGATACATATTTTACAGTTGTAAAATTATGAAAATAATATCTTATGATGAATTATTAAAGAATGAAAGTAGTGGTCCGATTGAGTATGACGAAAAATGGCGATGTTCTGAATGAACAAATCTATATATATGATATTCAATAATGTGTGTTCGGTTGAAATAACCAAATTTTTGTATTTTATTTTAGGCACCTACAAACCGAAAAAGTCTTCCACCGGGGAAACCTAAAACAAATAACCAAAAGAATATGATTCATCTCTCTTTATCTCTTCGAGAAGATGTAAAATTAAGAGAGACAGAAAATGCTTGGAAGCCAACTAGATTGAAACAAGTTGATGTAAGTGAAGAAGAAGCTAAGACGTTACAATTATACAAACGTGTAAGAAGCGTCTTAAACAAACTTACACCTCAAAAATTCAGTACTTTAGTTGAACAAGTTCGTGCTTTGAACATTGATACGCAAGAAAGGTTGCAAGGTGTTATCAACTTGGTCTTTGAAAAGGTAACATCGAAATTATACATTAAACATAAATAAATTATTGTTGTAAGCATTTGTAAAACAAATATCTATTAAACAACTCTTTATTTTATTCTCAGGCCGTCGACGAACCCAGTTTTTCTGTTGCGTATGCGTTAATGTGTAAAGAATTAGCTATGATTGAGGCATCTGGTAATGAAAAAAGTAGCGCTAAGCAAACAGAAAGTTCAGGTAATTTTAGGAAACTGATAGTAAGCCGGTGTCAAAAAGAATTTGAAAAGAATCCAATTGATGAGGTTACAAGAACTAGTAAACTCAAAGAAATTGATGAATGTACCGATCCCGTAAGTTGATAAACTTAATATTACTCGTTTTAACATTATCTTTGATATATATTATTTTAAAATTGAATTTTGTTTTATATATTTCCAATTGATATGTTTGTAGGAAAGAAAGAAGGATTTACTTCTTCAGCTCGAGGAGGAAGAGCGTAGAATAAGAATTAAATCAGTAGGAAATATCCGGTAAGTGAAATATTAACAGTAAAGAAAATAAATGATATAATTAGAAATTGTAAGTCAATATCAAAAACAACGTGGTGGTGGTGGTCGTCGTGTATTTATGAAAAATATTTTCTCATTGTACAACTTTTCATTTTTTATAGATTTATTGGAGAACTGTATAAACAAGATATGTTAACAACGAGCATTATGCATCGTTGTATAATTCACTTATTAGATCAAAATGACGAAGACAGTTTGGAATGTCTATGTAAACTATTAACAACAATTGGAAAAGACTTAGAATCTAAGAGCAAATATGAAGTGAGTATAAGATATTTTCTATTTAATTACAAATTAATTTCATGAAAATTTTTATAGATGATGATGATAATAATATTTATAAACGTATATTTTTGTCAATATAGGTTATGATGCAAGAATATTTTTGCAAAATGTCAGAAATCGTTTGTCGACGTGGACAAAGTAAAATCAGCTCTAGAATTCGCTTTATGCTACAAGATGTTATTGATTTGAGGGCGAACAAATGGGTGCCAAGGAGAGATGACAGCAACCCTAAAACAATAGACCAAATTCAGAAGGAAGTTGAATCGGAAAGACTCGATACTCAACTTACGAATACTCCATTGAATACACCTAGAAAAGATGATCGCAATGCTGATCGAAAAAGAAATCGTTAGTTAAATTGCATTTTAACTAATTTATCATGTATCTATATAACTTAAAAATATTAAGTTATATATAGCTTCAATAATAATTTTTAACTATTTTCCGATGTAGAATATTTTTGTTCGTAATAAAATATAATTCAAAATTTAGTAATTGGATTAGCAAGTAGAAAAAAAAAAGTATACTTGTGTAGATATCATGGCTTAAACAATTTTTTCGTGGACCTACAGTTTTTAATAACAATTAATAATAATTTTATCTTAAATAGATAATCTAAGAAGTATTTAACAAAGCTTCATATTGTAGGAGGATTTGGGGCCGCGGATGAAGGTGGGTGGAGTCAACCTGTAGGTAGAGCGAGACAAACTTATTCTGTTGAAACAGCTAAACTTAGACAAAAAACTGTAAGTAAAAAGAATGTATTAAAATTGATTCTAAACGGTGAAGTTAATAAGAGACAATATTTGTTAATAAATATTATTTTTCTTTTCTTTAGACTCCAGTGGATGATCTTATTCTAGGTAGTAGAAACAATTATATGTGGAAAACGTCTACAAATAACACGAAAAATTCAACAAACAAGTTTGCATTGCTTGACAATATAAATACTATAGAACAAGACAGAAGAATGCCCCCTCTTCCGCTTTCTGGGTAACCTATATATTACCTTTTTATTTTTTTTTTTTTAATGCCATATTCTTATCAATTGATATTTAGAATGTGATGATTCTCCATAACAGACTAGAGTTTCTGAATTCTTCTTTTTCTTATGATTATAAAATTAATCTGAAGTAATATCTCTTCGTATATATATTTTAGAAATTTCTTGTGTTCAGTCGTATTAAGAATTTCTCTTTTCTTTTTTATAAATATTAGATCGAGATCAACCGGTCCTAGAGATTACGGACGGGATTATAAATCGTCTTATGGTATGTATCAGAAAATTATATTACTAATTTAAATGTTACCACATTTAGCTGATCGAGAATAAATAGATATTCTTATTTTTCCTAAATATAAAATTTGTTTGCTTTTATAAAACTCAATTTTTTAATGAAATCTGATAAGTTGAATAAAATTAAAAAAATATATATATAATCCGCACTCGGTTGGCTCAGTGTTAACATTTATTTAGAAACCTATTCTCTATATTATTATTATTTGATATGATGACAAATTTGATTTAGTAGAAAACCTATGAGAGGTTTACTGATTTGTACTTATAGCCAAAAGGATACTGAGTTAATATATAAAACTATTATTAGATATAATTTTTCTGTGAAAAACAAATTAATAATTTATCATTTCTTTTTGTATAACAGATGGTAGGAGTTCTCGAAATGGAAGCCACCAATTAAGCAGTGGAGCATCATCATCTAGTAGAGAAAGCTCATTATTAGACAATGCTCAAAGTCAAAGTGTGTCTATGCCAACACAATCTTTGAAATCACCATCGTCCCAACCTGTAACTAGTAATCTGAAACCTCCATTATCCGAAGAAGAATTTACGAAAGTTTTTAATTCCATATTAAAAGATTATCTAAGGGAACATAGTTTGGAGGTAAGTTTTTATTCAATCTTTTTTAGTAATCGTTGCAATTTAAAGAACAAATTTCACAATCAAATGGGTTTTATTATAAACATTTCATTTTATGTTTACGATACTTTTTCTCCAATTTATTATGCATGCTCCTTAGATCCATCTCTTTTTATCTTGAGAGATGCTTGAGTCATAGGCATGCAATAATATGCAATACCTTCTCTTTAATTCATCGTAGTAACAAAGTAAATTTATTTTACTATTATATAGTGTTACTATAATTATTAAAGAGAGGACAGATCCATTTATAATATTTCAACATATTTAACACACGTGAAAAATGTGTCTCCCACACTTAGGGGATGTGTCGCCAGTTATTTCTCAGTAAAATAAATCCAATTGCAAATGATTACGCGTTTTGATGAAACATTCGTCTGTTATAAATAATACTTCAACACAATATTTAACGCATAATAATAATAATAAATTCGTGTTGGTGGTAACCCACGAGCAAGCAAACAAGCAAGCAACGTGTAAAATTAACGTAGCATTTCAACGTGTTAATTATGTTCAATTGTTTTTTTCTTTTTTTTTTCTTCGCAATCTTAAAAAAGCAAGCATATTATTAATATTTTATTTAATCGTTTATCCTTACAGAATGCTATTTCTGATGTAATACAAACTTTCGATAATACCACGTTTACAAAGTTCATACGTGAATCGATTAACTACGTTCTTGAAAAATCTCCCCCTGAACGAGAACGAGTTTCACGACTTATGTCAGAGTTGATTAAAAAAAATGCTATGCCCTTACAACATTTGAAAGCTGGGTGAGTGGTTATTATGATTATTATTATTATTTATATATATATATATATATATTAAGAAGAGTTAATTTTTAAATGATGATAAAATTCTTTTCGAGAAAAGATAAATATCTTGATGTTCTTTTTATAGCCAAAAGGATACTGAAAATAATACTTCCCACGAATAATTATCTTTTTTTTTCTTTATAATGGTTCAACTATATTAACAATCGTATAAATTATTTTTGTAGATTCAGCGAAGTTCTGGAATTCGTTGATGACTTAATCATCGACATCCCTAAGATTTGGACTTATCTAGCAGAAGTATTAAGTAAGTATTATTTTTTAATAAACTATTATAGTGCTTCTGCTTTACAGCAGAAAGATGTGTACTATTATTCAGAATAATTAAATAATATTATTTATGATGACCTTCATATGATACCATAGAAGATATGAACCATGCGGGTTTTCTAATAGCTCAACAGGACTGAAATCAAAATAAAATCAATAATATTATTCGTCATAATAAATTATTATTATTATTTTTCTAATCACGAATATTATTATTTTGTTTCATTTCAGCTCATCCAATAAAAGAAGAAATTATGCCATTGTCTGAAATGGGAAGTATATTTAAAAGCTTAAAAAGTCAAGGTTGTGGAGGAAAACTTCTTGGAGAGTTATTAGCTAAATTATCCCAAGAAAAAGGATCCAAATGGGTTGCAGATAAATGGGACCAAAGCAGACTTTCATTAAATGATATTATCGATTCTGAAAGAGAAAGCATTGATAAAATCGCTAAGGAATATGTAAGATTTTCTATTATTAAATTGTGCATTGATTGGTTAATTCTTTCTTTTTTTTAATTTATTATAAATAACAATATAATTTTTTCGTTTATTATTATTATAATCGTTTTGGTGTTTTTTTTTCTTCTTTAGCACCTAGAATTCCTGATTGGAGATTATAATAGTGCCAAAAGCTCTAACAATGACGAGCTTAGTTTACAACAGATTCACGAACATCTAAGAAAGTTAATGAAGGAAAAGTCTTTCGATCAAATAAGTAATTGGATAACAGTTAGTATTTTTTTTATATATATAATTGCAATATATTGCCCTTCGTTTTTATTTTTCTCTATGAATAAGGAAAAAATTAATGTATCTTTTATTCTTTTTTTTTTTCTATTTTTTTTTATTTATTCTAGGAATTTGTGAATAATAGGGTTAAGGATCCAAAGTTCATAAGAATATTGATGACTGCCATCTTAGAAACATCAATAGGTATATATCAATAAAATGTTAATATTTAATTGTTACAAAAATTGATTTGATTTTTTTGTTCATCATTACAATTGGGGTATTATATTTTCTTGTTTGCAGAACCGCTTAATGAGAATATTTGGAAATTAAATGAAAACACATTCAGTAATTTAGAATTATTGATTCATCGGTACGTCGATACCGACGAAGTACTAGAATTACAATGCTTGTATGCTATTCAAGCTTACATGACAAAAATCGAGTTCCCCTTAGGTAAGTTTAAAGTTGTTGGTTAATCTATTTGGCAGAAGAAAAAATATTTATAATATATATCTATAATAATGAATAAAATAATAATTTTGTGTGTATATTTTAATTAGGCATTCTACGAAGCGTTATTAACAAATTATCAGGGGACAATATTATATCCTCCGATGCATTTTTGGCTTGGCAAAAGGGTGAAGACCCAGCAGAACACGAAGGGCATAGTGTAGCAATTATGACACTTACGGCATTCTTCACATCCTTACAAGAAGCTGAAGACAGTTCTAGTGTTGAGGACGGACCGAGCAACGTAAATTCCGATCACTTTTGACGGTGCATCGTATTAGAAGGAATAAAAACAGGACATTTTTTTCTCGAGTAAAAAAAAGAAAAGAAAAAGATAAAAAAAAAATGAAAATGAAAATGAATAAACAATTCTTTACAGATAATACAAATTCTTTCAAATAACTGTCAATTTTTTAAATAGTTATTTGAAACGCGACGGTCTTATCTAAAACTATAATACACACTAATTTTCAGAAAAGGAAAACAAGAAAAAAAAGAAAAGAGAAAAGAAACGAAAAGAAAAATCAAATCGCGCGCGAGAGAGAGAGATAGAGAGAGATTTTTAAATAAAAAAAAAATAATCGTCGTCAATTATTCAATTAATTGATATTGAAAAAGAAAACGCCGATATATACATAATATATATATATATAATAGTATTTGTCGAATTTTTATTTTTATTTGTTTACTTTCTGCTTAATTTGTTTTTTTTTTTTTTTTTTTTTTTCTTATTATTTAAACTTTAAAACCATTTCAATGAATTATGTATAATAATTATCTTGCACATTTTTAACTCTGTACCATAATTATTAATTATCTTCGTTTTTTTAATACGGTCATTATGTATTCGTTTGTATTTGACAATTTATCTTTTACTTCTTTGGTTTTTATATCGAATCATTAAATTTTCTAGATTATATATTGTTACATTTAAAACTATTATTATTATTCACCACCCGTACGCACGCGCAGCTATCATTCGGTTGTATTTCCGCGTTTTATATTTGAAACAAAGAAATAAAAGATAAAAAAAAAAAAAAAAAAAAAAACGTAAAAAGCAAAGAGAAAATTTTTGTCTCCTTATCAAGATGAAGAAAAAAAAAGAAATTAAAACAAGCTATTTCTCGCAATAATTTACTAAACAGAGAGAGAGAGAGAGAGACATTTATAAAATGCGGTAATTTTATCTTTTATTAACGGTCCTTTCAAAATTCATTCCGGAGTTGTAAATTTTTGCAGATATATATTTAAATTAATAAAATATTAAATTTCAAAGAACTTTTATTTTATATTCTAAACTCTCTTAACGATTGCTTGTAAATGTAAATTTGTAACGTAATTAATTATTAATTTAATAATCTATATAAAAGAAAGAAAAAAAAAAACGGAATAATTTTACTAATTTAAATTATTATGTTATTTAGTTATTATATTGAATATTAAAATTAACTGAGCGTAATAACCACCTCTTAAATATTAAACGAAAGAAATTTTTGTATTTTTAATAACAATATAAATTAATGGTATTTATATATGTATTGCAAATAGAAATAAGATTTAAACATCGTCATTATTCCGGTCCGTTTATATAATGACACACACACATTTGTACATAGAAAAGAAGATCATTAAAATTGATGCAAGATAATTATAATGATTCATTGAAACGGTTTTAAGATTAAAGTAAATAAAGGAAGAAGAAAAGTAAATGGATAAAAGTAAAATATATAAATAAAAAAAAAAAAAAAAAAAAAACACGTACTAACATATGGGTTTTCTTATATCTCGCGAAGTGTTGTTTTCTGATAATGGTCGATCGCTAATATATAAAACAAATAACGGAACTGAAAATATATGTTGTCTCTTAATTATGGGGGAAAACAGAAAAATCTGGTTTACGAGTTTGTGTTATATTTTTACTTACGTCAAAACGAACGAAGATAAATATAATAAACCACTGAAAAAATAAACCAAAGTGCTACACACAAGAAATTTAGATTAACAAATTGTGAATAGAGAAGAAAATGATGAAGAAAAGAAATGGGGGGAAAAAAGAACAAAAAAAAATAAATAAATAAATAAATAAAACAAGAAACCAGCCACGAGAGCGGTCAATTTTAAACGAAGGAAAAATTTCCAGGATTTTACGAAGCTCCGATGATTAAATAGATGATAACCAAGTCTGATGATACGAATACAAAAAAAAAAAAAATGTGGTTCTTCCTATTATTTTAAAACGAACGTTATACATACATACACACACGGAAATATAATAATTTATATCTTTGAAGATAACAAATGTATCTTAATAAAAAGAAAACGAAGAAGAAGAAGAAGAAGAAAGACGAGAGGATAAAAAGAAGAGAGAAGCAAGCAGCCAGCTAAACTGCAGTGTTCAAACGCGATATAGGAAAAAATACGAAAAATGATTTAAAAAAAGAAGATACACATAAAATTTTAGGACTTTATTAATAGCCTAGAAAACAACAAGTGTGCTCTGATGAAGATCAAATAATGGAAGAAAAATACGAAGAAGAGATGATGATAATATAATAGTGCATATTATTAAAAAAATGTGGTGTGCATATTAAGGCGCTATTTTTTAACACTAGCTATTTACAACCAATCATTAAAGAAGAATAAGAGAAAAGTATAATTGGATGGGAATGAATCGTTTGTGCATGTTCCATGTGACACACATAATACAACCAACACACATAAAAACATACACGCAAAACATAATCGGTGCACTTTGGAATTGTATAAAATTATTACTTATATCGATTATAATGATATAATATGCAAAATGATTCTCTCATTCTCAAATATTATACCTTTTTATTCGTATGAAATGGAAAAAAAGTAGAATGAAGAAAACAATTGGTTTACTTGATGAATTTATACGTAAATATAAAATATAAAACTCTCTTACCCATTGGATCATTATTATTAATACAAAACAAACAAAAAAAGTAACTTATGTTTTGTCGATATATCGTTGTCCGCTTAAAAAAACTTTGTCTAAATAATATCTCTCTGTATGCGAGAAAAAGCGTGATTGCTTTTAAATAAAAAAAAATGGGCGGCGGGCGGGCGGCGCACACAACACACACACAATCGAGACGGATATATATATATAACTTAAATAACGAGAGCAAACATACGAAAAAAAGAAAAAAAAAAAAAGAATAAGATGATACACTACCAAGAAAAATAAATAAATCGAATGTGCTTTTTCATTCCTTATAAAAGAAAAAAAAAAAAAAATATATAGTTTATTTTAACTTTTTTCTACGGATTTGACTTTCATAAAATATGTGCATGTTCTAACGAAAGAACGGAAAAAGACTATGTTTATTAATTATCTCTTAGGATATATATATATATATAGTATAATTGTTCATATAATTAAATATGTTGTACATAATAATTCGCTGGAAATATTATTATTATTATTATTATTATTATTATTCTACGGCGACTCTCACGATACGAGAATGAAATGGGATAAGGGAGGAGGTGTTTATTATTAGGGTCCGACAGATATTGTCATTGTTATTTTATATATATATTTATATATATATATATATGTATGTATATGTATATATATATATGAAACTACAAAGATTATATCTTATTTGTCACTTACGATATTTCAAAAGTATATTATTATTATTATTCCTTTTTCGCATGTTCAGCGGTTCTTCTCTCTTATAAGTTTATTATTATTATTATTATTATTTGGATAATGTAATTTTGTGTAGTTTTTTCTTTTTTTTTTTTTCTTTTTGCGTTGGAGAACCGCTCGTGCGTAAAATTGTTATAAATTAATTAATATCATTTTTAGCAATCGCTTTTTTTTTCTTTCTTTCTTTATTTTATTTTTATTTCATTTCATTATTTTTTTTTTCTTTCGTATAATATTAATAAATCATTATTCTTATTATTCTTATTATTATTATTATTATTATTATTATTAATCATTTTATTTTCACTTCTTTTTTTTTTCTTCTTCTTAATACAATGTTAATAAGTTTTTTATCATAAAATTGTGTATAAAATAATTATAATCAATAATTTGTTTGTCACATCGTTAAAAAGCGAGAGAAAAAAAAGGGGATACAAGTGAGAAAGAGAGTAGTTTAGTAGTTTATAAGAGAAAGAAATAGACAAAAGAGAAGATTAGATTTTTACTCTGGTTTTTTTTTTTTCTTTTGTCTATTTTCTTCTTGTTTTTTTTTTTTTTCCTTTTTTCTTTTTCGTCTTCGTTTATTGTAATAAATGGGTGGAGATGATGAGATTCGTTTGAACGAATTCGTAAAAAAAAAATAAATAAAAATAAAAAAATCGAAATAGAGAAACAATGCCAGCAGTGCAACAAAAGAAAAAAAAAATAAGAATGACAGGATTTAACACATGATTATAAAAAAAAAAAACTACTCGCATAACACACCCCCACGTGTCTCTCCTTGAATGAACACATTCTACTTTACACACCTGGATAGAATGTATCGTTTGACGAGACAACAACAACAACAACAACAATAAAAGTAAAAAAAAATGTATAATTCAATTTCAAGAATGAAATAAAAAGAAAGATAAAGAAAAGAAAGAAAAGGCGTGAGCTATATAGATAAATAAAAAAAATTATACTAATTTATAATTAATTATATATAAAATGATGAGAATATATAAGGGTGACGTGTTTATTTAAAAAAAAAACACGTGGATATAATATAATTGGATGCACACCGAGAGAGAGAGAGAGAGAGAGAGATAGAAAAAGAAAGAGTGTGTGAGATAAAAAAAGAAAAAACATGTGTGAGATGGTAATATTTAGTGTAAATAAATAAGTAAATAATTAATTAATTAATTAATTAATTAAATGAGAATAATAATGTAAGCTCCGATTGTAAACCAACTAAATAGGCTGGAGATTGGTAGGAATATGCGATTATGGTCTTTCGTATATCGTTATACATAAGACCATCGTGCTATAAACAAATAACGCGTATGATGAACACTTGCATATATATATAACATGATGTGTACTTAGGTACATATTTACACATTAAAAAACATGACGATACACACACACTACGCATATACAATTGACACGCAAAGAAGAAAAATTTGGCATAATGATGAATATATATGTGTGTGTACATACATCATATATACATATGTATGTGTATGTATACATATGTATATATGTACATATATACATAATTATATACATAAAAAAAAATATTGCTAGGAACTTATAGAGTAAAAACAGACGAGTATACACATAAAAAAAAAAAAAAGAAAAAACTTCTATAATAAATATGCCTATGGAAAAAAAAAAATAAAAAAAAAAAATGAACAACTCCATGCCATATCGTTGTCAATTTATTTTTTGTTTTTCTATACGAACGTATGGGATTTGTGTAAACGTATATATATATTATTCACATATATGTATATATATATACATTTTGACCAGAATTTATTTTCAATTTCAATTTTTTTTATATAGATTATAATAGTAGATAGAAATTAAGGAAGTATTATTTTAAAAGTAAGTAACAAATAATCCAGGTATAAAGATGATAATCATTGGTACGTAAACAATAATCAAGACATTTAATTTTGTTATTTTTCTCTGTTATATTATAATCAATATTTTTCTTTCGAATTTATTAACAATTCTAACTTTGACTAGTTGAAATTTTTAGAGAGGACATTATAGTCATTCATTTGATTTTTTTAAAATAAACTAGAACAAACAACCATTAGTTGCATATTTGTTTGCATATAATATCTCCATTTGATAATCATGTTTTTTAATAATGAAGTATAGAAAAATTACAATAGAAAGGTGCATAGATTATAATAATATTTCATTGATCATAATTATTTATTTAAATGGGGGATATATGCATTTTCTTCTATGCATTTTATTGTATATTTTTGAAACATTTTCTTACACCAGATAGCGCCACCGTATGAGAGAGTAGTGACCGATACGTAGATTAGAGATACGACCATAAGTGTTTAGGTTGTTCTGCTGTCGTTATCGTGTATTATCACCTTGTTAGTATTTAAATATACGTCTAACGTTAATTTTAATTGTCTATTCAAACATTAACGTGATTTATTTTGTTATCCTTATAAATATTGTTTCCTAAATTACATATTTGAAAAGTAGTAACTCGATCACCACTTATATCCGATGATATAATAATAATGATGATGATGATTATTATGATGATCGTCTTAATAAAGCGAAGAAGTGCACAAGTGTATTAAAGGTAATCCTTTCTTGAAGAATAAGTGTGCAAAAGTATTAACAAATTCTTATTTTATTATTTCGAAATACGCGAATAAAAAAGGAATCGCATGGTATCGATTATCTCACGTCTCGAATCGTTATCCTTGTTTTTTTTTAAATATATAATGATCTCCTGACATGTGTAAAAAGAAAAAGGATATAATAATGTATTTTTTAAGTTATATTTCTTACTTAAACACCGATCAATTCTAGTAAAATAATGAAAAAAAAAAAAAAAAAAAAGAAAGGATAACGACGAGAAATTAACGTTAGGAACAAAATATTAGTGAATAACTTTGCATTTGTTTAGTAGTCAAGAGTAATATTGTTCACTAAACAAAAACAAAAAAATATATAACTGTTTTTTAGCCCGCGATTTGTGTGTGTGAGAAATTAAGTATAGAATGTTGACGATTACACGCGCACCGAATTATATTTAACACTCGTGCACATTCGCGTCGTAAGAAAACGATCTCGTTTATAAATATATATACACATATATATTATTTTTCAACGTTGTTTTTAATCGTCCTACGAATTATTATGCGTTGTCGATATATAAACGACGATATAGTAGAGTATTTAAATAACGTTGTCTCGGTTGCAATATTTGTTCGGCCATTAAAAAGATGGCGCGAGAATGCACTGAGGATGGTCTTGTGCTTACCACAATGGTGGTAGGAGTCGAGGATCACGTGACACTTGCGTCGCAGGGCCGCTTGTCGCGCGACCATCCGAGGCCAGCCATTTTGATTAGTAACATGGCGTCAGCGGAGATTAATATGGCGTCCTCGGACATAATAACCGAAGTGGAGCCAGAAATCCAGGAGGTCGAAATCGAAACAATACCGGTTGAAATACCTTGCGAAACGGTGGAAACGACTATCGAAGGGGACGATGGCCAGCCGATGATCGCATTGCAACCATTACCGGAACCAGGCCGTGAAGAAATCATTCTACAGACGCAAGAGGAAATCGTCGGCGCCGATCCACTAAGCGTGTACGATCAGATACCAGTACCAGAGAACGACATTTATGTCGAATCGAGTCCTGGACCATCGAGAAAGGGTACGAAGAAGGCTAGAAAAGGTGGAGCTGCCAGATATCGAACATCCGATCACGCAATATTCGGTGAAATGGGTTCGGAAACGAAAACAAGAAAGTGGGAGCAGAAGCAAGTGCAAATCAAAACCCTTGAAGGTGAATTCTCGGTGACAATGTGGGCATCTGGAACTGATGATGGTAAGTTTTAAATGGGTCAATTATCGTTTTAGTAAATGAACCCTTATCAAATGTTATTTCAACTGCTTTTATATGAACTCGTCTATCTGCTTCTTTCTAACGGCTATAATACCCCAATGCACGCTAGCGTAACGTACTTCCGGTAGGTCTACCAAATCGATACTTCAATTTGGCTTGCTTCGCTAAAAAGAATAACTTTTCTTGGTTGCACGATTATTCGTTTCATTTAAAGTCACAACGTTGACAGTCTGCGTTGTTTGTTTTGATCGAAGGAACGCCATTATGCTGCCAGGGGGCAGCCATATTTTGAAAATGGCTTCTTTTGCTCAATTTACCTCTTGAGGAGTAAAATGGCGTCGGAATGTCGTTCTACGCGTAATGGAGCTCTTCCCCCTCCACACACTCGCTCACCTCCCTCTTTCGATCTTTAAATGCGTTTTTCCGTATTCAAAATTTCATGTATTTCTATATTAATTATCCTCCTATTTCCTTTGTCTTTTATTCCTCTTAACTTGGTTAGAATATCCTTTAGTCTTTGTCAAAGAAATAATGCTATACGAAAAAGAAAAATTAATTAAAAGACTATTTTTTTTACATATGAAACGTACCTTTTATATCGTTTCTTATTTCCAGATATTTTGATAACCCGTTAAGACGATCTTTATCCAAGTAAATTGATAAAGTATGCACAGACTTTTTTTTCAAAATATTTAGAAGAAGCTAGCAAGTACATAATATGATGTATTAATTAATTTACAAGAGACTGAATCATTGTAGAAGTTCATAGTAGAAGAAGAATCTAATACATCAGAATAACGAAAGGAATCCTAGTAACTCTTGATTTATCCAATGTTACAGATGAAGGCTCTAATCCAGAACCTGATCCAGATTTTACTGAATATATGACAGGCAAGTCAAACACAAAGTTTAATCATTCTGGAAGTTCTGTTTCCGATGGAATGCCTGGTCTCGATTTATCAGATCCTAAACAGCTAGCGGAATTTGCCAGACCTGGGCATAAATTGAAAGTACGCAAGCCACCTGTTATGGATGGTGCAGAACGCACAATTGCTTGTCCTCACAAAGGCTGTACAAAAATGTTTCGGGACAACAGTGCTATGCGTAAGCACTTGCATACACATGGACCTAGAGTACATGTATGTGCAGAATGTGGGAAGGCTTTTGTTGAAAGTTCAAAATTAAAGAGGCACCAGTTAGTGCATACTGGAGAGAAACCTTTTCAATGTACATTCGAAGGATGCGGCAAAAGATTTAGCCTTGATTTTAATTTGCGTACCCATGTCAGAATTCACACAGGTGACAGACCATATGTATGTCCATTTGATGGGTGTAGCAAAAAATTTGCACAATCCACGAATCTTAAATCACACATACTGACCCATGCAAAGGCTAAGTAAGTTTTCATCATTTTTATTTGGGTAATATTAAACAATTATATTTATATTTATATTAAGATTTAGATTATTTAAACTGTATCATACAACTTCGTATGTATATATATGTATATATATATCGCAGATCGAGGAATACAATTGGAAGACAAGTACAACAAATTCAACTTCAACAACCTCAATTCGTCCAAGTCGAAGTTGCGGATGTGGATAACCAACAATTTATTGTCTATGCTGATTAGCCCCCCCAAATATTGATCTCGTATCCTGGTGAATCTATTATGAAATATCATAACCACTAATTATTAACATAAGCAGTGTAAATATTTTCAAGATACAGCAAGCGGCAAAGGAAATCAGTCGTTAAAACTATTAGTTATGGTAAGAGAATGAGTTAATTAAATAATTAATACCTCTGTGCTTAGATATGGATTAACTAAAAACATCGAGAGTATTACGCTCTTCAAAACTCATTGATAAACAGTGTACTTTTTAAGACAATGCGAGGTGAAACGATGCACATTGCTCTGTGCTAAGTCAGACTTTTTAAAAAAATCTAGTGCGCCGTCGTAATGTGTAACTGTACATATTTATAATTAAAGTATAAAATATTGTATACAGTATATTTTGGAGAAATTCAAATGAGAATAAACCACAAAATACATTTGTTCTGTTAGACTCAATTGTACCATTTTAGTACAACGGATCTTGTACGCCATTTACCGTAATTGTCGTTATCGACAATAATCGTACTAGCTGTATTATCCTAAATTAAAATATATATAAAATATATTGCAATGCTCAATAATCGCGAGTGTTTTTAATATAGCGTCTGACCAATTTAAAAGAAGGATGCATTGTATTGTCAGCCTCGCAAATTAATCGAAAATTATTGATTCGTGCAATAGTCATTTCGGAACATTCAAAAGCTTTTAATAATGTACCAGAGTAAATTCATAAAATCATATTTATAATTGTATTTTATGTGTTGTCGGATTGCAGAATAAAGCAATAGATATAGATAGTTTTAATATTAACTGTATTTAATAGCTATGTAGCGTGCATTTCATTACACTATTATTCATAATAAATTGCATATCATAGTTTTATACATAGAGCAACATGCAGGCGGTTATATGCATACTTATAATTCAGCGTATATGACGATGATTCAAATGGCGAAAAATTTTACCAACGAAACACTTAATTTATAGATTTATAAATAATATTTGCTGTAAAGCACTTTCTTTGGTACAATATGAATGTACTTTACAGAAATATCTATGGTTTTTATAAATATATTCGTTTAACAGGAATAATCCATAGTTTGTGTTTAGAAATTATGATTTGATACGAGCTTAAGAATATTTAATATAATTTCAAATAATTACTCACATATTAAACTTATACATTAATATATTTTATATAATACGTTTCAGTATTAATAAGTTTGTTTTTAATAGCTTGGAACGTAGTGTGATTTTTTTTTAATTATTTATAATATTATCATATTTTACATTGTCACGCAATGCAATTTTCCAAAATTGCTTGCACAAATGGTAATTACTTTTCATAAATCTAGTCACAAAATTTTTGTTTTTGTAAGCCTTTACTAATTTTTAGCCTGCTTTGCCCGAATTTTGTTTCTTTTTTTTTTAGTAACTTCAGTATATTTTGTATATATTTTTTTATTATCATGGCTTTGCTATGTATATCTTACACGTAAATTTGTTTAAGATCGTTGGAATAAAAAAGTTGTACTAAATGGTTTCTCTGACATGATTGAAAGGGATGATTTAATATTTAATTAATCGTCGTTTTATTTTTTCTTTTTCATTTAAACGATATATTTTGAACTATGTATATATAGAATCAATATTAGTGCAAAAATCTAGGTAAAAATACCTAAATGATATATTATATAGGCAGCTTTTATCTATAAAAATAATACAGACCTTTCTAATTTTTTCAAGAAAATCATCTTATATATGCATTGAATTTTACTATTGTCTTATTATACTCTTTTCTTTCTATTGTCTTATAAATTTATTAAATAATACATTAATGAAGTAAGAATTCATATATATATATATATATATATATATATATATATATATATATATATATATATATATATATATAGAAAGTAACATCACGACGTGACTAAATTACAATTTTTAATAGGAAAAAAGGAAAGAGAGGAATAAGTTAATTTTGTTTTTGTTGTTGTTTGTTGTTTTTGTTCAAAATTTAAGTTTCTTTTTATGCGCATAACGTGTTCCTTGATTGTAGATATTCTTAATTTCAAGTTTATTAATATCTTCCAGATCGACCATCTCTACCTTTGTCGTCTCTTCCCTTTCGTCGATCCTTTGATCTTGATCTTCTATCCCTCGACCTTGATCTACGTTTTCTATCTCGTCCACGTGATCTGGATCGAGATCTTGATCGACCTTTACCACCTTTTTTGCGGCTATACAAATATCGTCGCAATTCACGTGAAATAGGTTTTAAGTGCATAAAATTACAAAATCCTGAACGTGTACACTCACTGAAATTGAATAGAAGAATTTACAATTAATATTTTATCTTATATAGAATTATATTATATTGTTTTAAGCGGAGCTAGTAAATTTTTTATATACCCCATTTCATATTGACGACAGCAAGCTTCTCTGAAATCGGTTACAGGAGAAAGTTCAGCGTAAACTGGTCTTCCTCCAAACCATCTATTATTTAAATCGTTGACTGCTCTTTCAGCATCTTCCTCTCTTCGAAATTTGATGTAAACATTACCGACTAAGTGATCACCGAGGTTGTCACAAACATTCATTTCTTCAATTTCACCATACTTATCCTCACATTCCACAAACACATCTTCAAAAAAATTATCGTAGTGTTCTTGCATTTCTTCATCTGACACGTTTGCCACTACTGCAATTGTGGATTAAAAAGTACTTAAGTAATATCAAGATTTTTAAATAAAGATAATATACTTATTTAAAAATATAGATTTTTTTACTGTGTACTTACAATGAGAGCCATCTGCACTTTTTGCAGAATTTTGAGGATTTACATAAAGGTTTTGTAACAAACATGTCTAGAAAAAAATGGTTTCAATTACATAAGTTATATACACAATGATTTAACAAAAAAAAAACAAACTATTAAAACTCGTGTCTTGTACATACTTGACTGAAGGTAGGTTTATTGTGAATCCTTGAACACCTATCACCGTGACGGCAAGCACCAATTTTAAAATAAAATGAACAATTTACTCTAAAAGAAAGAGTCAAATGTATTTATTAGTGTTTAATAATGTATACAGAGTGTTAACTTAAAGAGTTAAAATAAAGCTTACTTGTCTTTTTCAGTACCAAATATAGATGCCAAATATTCCGCCATAACGTATTATTTCCTATGTTTATGTTTTAATTCTTCACTCTAGGATACGTTACAAACAACAGCTGGAATACATTGCATTTATCGTTCTTTCAGTTTATTATAAAATGGCGTCTTAGGGTGCAACCTCATGGTGGCGCTTGACGCTGATTTTGAGCGTCGAAATATGTCTCCATCTAGCTGAAATAAGTAGTAATTTTTTAAAATTACCGGCCGAGATCTGATGGTAACTTACCATCCGAATTACCGACTGGGGATCTAATGGTAACTTACCATCAGATCTCAGTCGGTAAGATAAAGGTAGAGCACTACTATTACCGATATCGGCTTAGCTATGTTACTAGAATTTCAATATATTTTAAACTTTCTTATTTCCTAGTAACTTTTAATAGCAAGTAGTGTATACAAAGTGAATGTGTAATTAAATTCTATCTACATTTAAAAAAACAAACAACAATTAGAAATCTATTATAGATATTTTTTTTAATTATTAATGAAAGATGTTTATACTTCTTAAGAACGACAGTCTTCGAAAAGGTACAGGGGAAAAAAAACTTACTAGATTAAAAAAAAAAACCGATATCATATTGAAGCTAGAAAAACCTGTCTTGCTGTAAATTTTTTTCGAGATTGAAGTAAACCTTTTTTTCGATTTTTCGATTATTAATAACTAATTAAATAATTAAATAACAGAGTGAACAATTATGGATTTTGATTAAGCAATTAATTACTTTTTTGTGCTTCATTATATAGCAACGCTTTAAGAATATACCATCTATTGATAACTCAAACGATTATTATTTTCGATAGAAACCGTTTGAGGGCACAACACGAACATTAATTCGATATTTGGAAAATTAAAAGATGGCAACTCTAGTGTTCTACTTGACTGCCGGCAACAAGAGAGATAAACCATCGAGGTATTAGATTGATGACCTTGTCATTTGATTATTTTTAAACTAACGTTCATATCCGTGATCGATTTCTAAGTGAAATATATTTTTCGAATAATCGAATATACCATATGATCACGACATATACTTATACAACTTGTGACTAAATGAAATTTCATAAACTAACGGTCAAATTACACAAAATTATCATGGATTAATGATTATATAATTGATAATTAACAAACGATAAGAGAATGAATAATAATAATAATAATAATAATAATAATAATAATAATAATAATAATAATATTATTGGAGAAACAATGGTTTATGTAGTTACGAACATAACGATTAAATCGCAGTAAGAATGACGATGTAACGACGATTAAAAACTATGATAAATGTACTCGTGAATATTGAAATATATCTACATATGTTTTGCGCATTATTTCAGTACAATTTTCATAATATATACAAACATAACCATCATCGTCTTGCAGTATGAACTGATAATGCATTTACATCTTTTTCAGATTAGCTAAGGAATAATCTAATTATGCCCTTAAAAAGAAAATAACATTTGTAGATAGAGATTAAACTAAACTAGTCAAAAGTAAAGTAAGTGAAATGGAACATTTATTAATGTAACATCAAACAATCTTAAAAATCTTAAAAATGTATAATATATTAGTTGTCTTTTGTCCAGACGAAAAGAGTAGAAATTTCTCAAGTTACAAGAGGAAACGAAGGAAAGATAAAAAAGAAAAGAAAAAAAAAAAAAAGGAAAAATAAGTATATACGGTGAATTTTCATTTAACGTTGGACATGGAGGGTGTGTGTATCCATGATGGAGGAGAAGAGGGATCCCGTTAGGACGACTCTCGAAAGCTTCATAGAGGGAAAGGATTTTCGTTTCGAAGTAGAATGAAATATAAAGCTCGTCGTGGAACTGGACGTGTACGTATGTGCGTGTGCGTATATGCCTGCCCTGTTCTGGGTGCCTGGCTGCGTAGGTGCACGCGCGCGCGCACTCGTGCATGCGTGCGTAAACCATAGGGTGGTGGTAGAGGAGGGTGAAAGGGAGGAAACAGAGGGACAGAGGAGACGCTTCGTAGACGTAAGCGAGAGAACGAACGGTAGATGATGAGGTAGAAGGAGGGTGAGAGAGACGCGAGGAAAACGAGGGCTGCCAGAAGGTACAGTGGAGAGGGGGTTGAAGAGCAGGGAGTAGGGAGAGGACTCTGCACCGCGACGCTACGGGGTGGTTGCCCTCGTCTGCGCTTTGTGGGAAATGCCCGCTCAATAACGCGTAGGTCCTCGTCTGCCCCTTCTCACCCTCGGAGTCATCACGGCAAGGGCCACTGCCCCAAAAGGCACGGCTACACCCGTCGATTTATCCTACCTCCTTTCCTTCCTTTTCTTTTCTTTCCTTTCCTTTCCTTTTCTTTCCTTTCCTTCCATCTTTTCCACCCTCAACTTTCTTTCCTTCTTCGACAGAGCTTTGACTGCTACCTACCTACTACTACCTATTACCTATCTATCTACCTACCTACCTATCTACCTACCTACCTCCCTCAGTCTTCGTTTATCCGTTTCTATCGAACAAATCGCTCCCTCAATGCGTTCGAAAAGGTCGTACCCTGCCCTTTCCCTTTCCCTTTCTCTCTTTTACTTGCTTGCTTGCTTTCTTTCTTTCCTTCCTTCCTTCCTTCGGTCGTTTGTTTTTTTCTTTCCCTTTTCTCTTATTCTCCTCTCCCGCAATATATTTTACGCTGACCGAAGCAGGACGAACCACCAACCTGCATCGATCCGTTCCCTTTTTCGTACATTGGAATTATTGTAAATGCATCTTATTCGATCACCATGGTAACGATTCCCCCTATCTTCTATTTTTGCGAGCCCAGACTATGACGTCTTCGAGAGCTTGAACTTTCACCTTTTCATTTGAGGAAAATTATAATCATTCAAATAATCATATTAATCTTTAACTTTTTGATCAATTGGGATTTTATGAAATTTTGTAAAAGATTGAAACTACAAAATCGATCCCATCGAAATAAGTTTGATTTATATATATATATGGGTTAGCATAGATGTGAAAGATATTTCATTTCTTATTAATTTAAATAATGTGATGTGTATTAGTATTTATTAAATCCATAAACATTCTTTATTCGTGCGTGGTATCCTAGGAAAAATAAGAAACGCGATTACGGTTTCCGTAGCGGATGCCGTAACGGTGCATCCAGGGTCTCTATCGGATCAATAAACGTTCTTCTTTTATCATAAAACGCATTTTCCTCGAAATATTCTTGGTCAATCTTTTATCCCTCCGTCCACCCCACCTCACCCCACCCCTTCACGATTTTTTTCAATAGGTCTCATTTCGTAGATAAATTCAATTGATTGACGGTTACAAGAATATATTAGAAATGACCTGTTCAATCAATAAATTACATATACATATAGATGTTAGTTCGTGAAATGAATTTATTACAAAATAGCTCGGTGTGAATCACACACACTTTTCGTATCTAATAAATTAAACGATATAGAATTTGTAAGGCTGAGACTAGTGATCACAAATGTTAATAGTAAGAATAGATTCAATCGCGAGAAATATAATATGATAATAGTAAAATAATTTTCTAATAGTATAATTAACTAGCTAGCTAACAGTACTCGTTAAAAAAATACGAAGAGGATCCTTTTTCTTGGCATCATTGGACAAACTTAATCCATGTTTATTCGGTTTGGATAGTATATGGCATGCGTGCAGATAGATACATAGATACCAGTCGCCTGCATCTATTTATATCGTCGACGAACCACGGTGCAACTGACCGTGTGGCCTTGACTTCCTGTTGACCCGACTGCCCCTAGGGAATTTTGGCGTACTCATTGGATTTCTGGGGACGACGACGACGTCGTTGGAGTAGAATCGATGCACCGTAGCCTTTCTTCACGAGAGAACAGGATTACTCTATTCGTTTTTACCTAAAATGATAGATACCAATTCCATTCTTCTATTCAGCAAATATTATTGACTTTAGTGCTGCCTGTTCATAGGCAACTTGTCCAACGATCAATCAACCTGCGTATCATTGCGTTATCTTTAAATTGATATATTACTCTTACATAGACATACACCATATATTGGCTCGATTAGTATATAGAAAATGTGATCATTTATTAAGATTCAATTGTAAAATTGTTCTAATAGAATTGTCAACGATGATAGTTGTTTTAATATTGTTCATATTTTGGAAAAATGTTTCTCCTTTATTTCTATTATTATTCGATTAAAATAAATTGTATATAGTGTATATATATATATACAGATAAATAATTTACAGAAGATAATTATCGATGATTATTATATCAACTGTGTTTTCTTTAATTCGAGGAAAAAAAATGAATTATTGTATAAAGACAAACAGATAAAGAAAATGATAAGAAGATGATAATAGAAACGGGAAAACCATCACGAATCTAGGATGGTATTAAAGATGTCAAGGGATGAAAGTTTACGATCTTGACCTTGTGCATGGATTTGTAATGAATGAGGGAGAAACTGAGAGTGTGAGACACGTGTAACGACATCGTTCGAAAGTTAAAACCTTTCTATCTACTTTCTTACTTGATTTGAATTTTTATTCTTGTCACATCGATATGAATCTTTTGATAAACGAGGAATCAAAACTGGAATTAATTAACGTTAATATATTCAATATTATTAGTATTAATAACTAAATATGTTGATATTTCGAAAGATACTATGATTACTAATAAATTTATATAATATATAGTATAATACTTTCATGGTAAAATATATGGCAACCATTTTCAACTTACAATGACAATACTAATATATCTTGGATATTTTTAAAACTTTATGGGGATTCGTTTAAAACAATACACTGCATTCTTAAAAGTTGAGATGCAAATACACAATCGTTTCCAGTTTCAAAGTGTATTAAAAAAAATAATAAATCAAACGAATCAAATAATTTCTCACTTGCAAGTATAAGAAACGTGCCACCTCTTCGAACATCGTGTAATCCTATTAGAAATCGAAATATTTTGTGAAATTTTTGAAATTTTTTCTCCAATGTTAACAGGATAACATGATTGGTAAGAAAGTGGCACGCGTGGTAAAAAAAAAAGTCGTGCCACCTCTTGGCACATCGTGTTATCCTATTAGAAAATTTTTATTTTGATAGAAAAATTGTTGAGATATTTCTAAAAAAAAAAATTTTTTGGAAATATTAACAGGAGAATATGAATTGTAAATTGGTGGCACATAAAAATAATTCAATTCGAGTAGCGATTATATTGAATTTTGTATAGTTTATAAATAACGTTATAATATATAATGTAAAATATATAATGCATCTGTAATATTATATATAATATTA